GAATCAAAGAATAACATGAAAGATGCGTCCGTGCCTCCTTTTCAGAGGTTCTGAGCCCTCACAGCTCCCACTGACTTCAGCAGGAGTTGTGGGCACAGAGCCCTTCTGAAAGCTCTACTGTGAATCTGTACCCTGCTTTTCATTCCTTGGCTGTTCCTTCTGGATTTAACATGGCCCACATGGGCCACAGTTTCCATGGCCTACTCCGAAAGCCCCTGAACCAGACGTGCCCCCGTAGCCACTTGCAACGACAGGAGCTCCCACGGATTCCACTACGCTTTCCTGCGGGAAAGTGGTGAGGATAGGTCCCGGGAAGGTCACGACAACCGGTGGTGGGTAGATTATCACTCTCGAGTCGGGGCACTGTGTGACGCATGGTTGGTTGCAGCTGTCAGCGCATGGCCTGGGGCGTGCCACACCGCACGCTGAGCCCCCATCAATGCACAAGTTTGCCCCGCACGACATCTTTCCGAGATGGAGGTAACCCTGAAACACACATTAAGGAGCAATGTAAACATACGGCACAAATGTTAGTGGAGTAAAAGATGAAAGCTCAGATACTATTGGAATGGTGTTTAAACAGGCTGGAATTTACACACTTTTCAAATGGAATCAATGCCCAAATCCCTCTAAATTCTTAGGAAGTCTTTCCCATAGATCCTAAACTGAAAACCGCAAGGATGTTATACTTCAGTTAGTTATAAATGAAAGCTGACATCTGTAGTTTCATGGAATTGGCTAAAGGCCGCATCCTAAATTGGTGTTGCTCCATTAAGTCATCGAAAGCTTAGCCGTGTTAATAATATGCCCCAAAACAATCCTGTCTAGTGTCAAAAAATATAGGCTCTGATTTTCTCAAAGCTAATGAAGAGATTAGGATGTTACTTCCCCCAGAATATTAATGGAAATACGGCATCCAAACTACGTGGAAAAATCTCATTTTAGCGTCTAAAGGCTTGATTCACCAACGTCTGCAACTCTACAACTATGAAAGAGTTCTTTTATGGAAATGCTAAAAATTACAGACTATTTGGGCTGTCCTGAGTGAAAAGTGCCAGTTCATAACATTTGAATAGTTTTAAAGAGATGAAGCCAAATCAGACTTACCCAGTTCACTGAGAATAACTCGAGAAGTGGTTAGAAGAATCCTGGGTTGGGAGCTTTTATACTCCTTTGCAGAGCTCCTGAAGTAGAGACATCCTTTGTGCAAGGGAGCCTAATTAGTTACCAAAGAAAATTTGTTAGAGGTGTAACTCCTCCAGATGATGACATTATTTTACCCCACGGCTTGTGATTTTTTTTTAAGTCTGTCTCCGCCCTAGATAATAAGATGTGCATGTTACACCCACAGGTTCCTTTCATTTTAAAGCTTTATGGGTCAAAGCCATTTTTGTGTCATTCCACTGACCTTACTGGAGTTACAGCACGAATGACTCTAGCTCTATGCATTTGGCTCTTTGATTATCCGCATAAGATTATCAGCCGTGTTTGGGTAGCCACGTGTGGGGTCAGACACATGATTCCAATTTGGTCCTTGAAATCCAGGCTGGTGTTGGTTGGAGTAATGATGGAGTTTAAGCTTGCAGTTCCTAGGGAGGGGAAATTTTGTTTTGCACACTCAGAACCTCCACCCCAGGGGTTCTGATCCAATGCCCACTGAAATCAATGAGTGGTTTGCTTGTGGGAAACTGCTGCTAGCAAAGCCCAGGAAAAAAGCAAAGGAGAGATGGAGACAAGGCATTCTTGGCTAAGGGGAGATGGCTGGGGGCTGAGATGAGATGAATTCAAAGATTGACCGATTTTAGGAAGTGCTGTCAGATCCTTCTCCCGCAGAAACCTTTCCAGCCAGACTCAGAATGATTTTTAAAGTATAAGGTACACCCCATACTGGTCAGTGGAATCGTTCCAATACACACCAGCTGAGGAACTGGTCCATGAACATGAATAGGAATTTTTATCAAAAAAGGGAAATAAACAAAGTGACTTTTTAATGAAAAACAAATATCCCCACATTCTGAGGTTACATCATGGCCTGATTAGGGAAATGACATGAGTAACCTTGACATCTAATTCAGGCGTCAAGCTATTAATATAATAGACTCCACCACTTTGTAGATATAAAACATTAATGAATGTTTGTGAAGTACTTTGATATCCTCTGAAGTTCTGAGAAAGCCCCAGGACATCCAGCACTGGTGTTATTATCCTTGTTTTATAAGCAAATCAAGACAGGCATGTTGCATTGAAACGTATACACCAACTTAGTGGCAGAGTCATAAATACAGACCAGTGGTACAGGCTTTTGTTCCACATGGTGACCATTAGTCCTGACCCTTATTCGAGTTTGTCACAAGGGAAGAGTAATAATATGTCTTATTTAAAATGCTTAACATTCTTGGCTTCCAAATAAGTCATTATAACAAGAGCAACAATTATAGAGGGAGATTCAGTTTTTTTTTAAATTATTCATCTTCTGGATAAATCGTCTTTTGATCTAAGCAGAAACAATGACCAACTAGATAATAAGCAACAGAGGGTCCTGTGGCACCTTTGTGACTAACAGAAGTACTGGGAGCATAAGCTTTCATGGGTAAGAACCTCACTTCTTCAGAT